GACCGTTGTCTGGTCTCCTCTGTTGCTGGGGTGCTAGCTGTGCAAAGTCCAGTCCAATGGGCCTTCTTCCCTCCACACTTCCCGCTTAGTTTCACATACTGTACAAAGCCGACTAGTCAACGCCACATGTCAACGCCACATGTCAACGCCACATGTTAACGCCACATGTCAACGCCACATGTCAACTCCACATGTCAACTCCACATGTCAACGCCACATGTCAACGTATCACACTTGTTGGCAAAGCCAGAGGAGTGGGGACTTCCAGCTATGGCTGAAATTATACTGAGACACTGCGCAGACGTTTCCAGGCTATTAACAGAAACGACCAGGCTCCTAATGCATATTTCTCAGCGTTCATACGAGGTTGAAAAACAATGTAGTTCTAGCGCCCGGCCAGTAGTGGGCAGAGAAACTTTACAACACATACACTTTGATAGGTAGTTTTTGTAATTAATTATAACATGATGAGTGTAGTGAACAAGCTTATAAAAAGACATGCTAAATTATTTCTCATTGCTTTGTGTCACGATAAGGACTGAAGTATTCACAATTTTCTATGGTCGACTGTACAGTAGGCCTATCCATTTATTGTTAAAAATAAGATATTATCTACATCTAAATTATATTAATGTAAATAAGTAATAGATATTGCATCTTACCTTATTTATAAATATATATTTATACCTACTGAAATATAAACCTTTTTATGTGGTTGGTATCGGGGCCCCCAAGAACTCTGTTGCCTGGGGCCCTGGGGTACCCTTGGAACGCCTCTGCATCCAACTATAGTGTTTTACTGCCACATTGCCTCCGTGTAAACTCAGCCTATGCTGCTCGTGGGTCAAGGTAAGGTAAGGTAGGGGTTAAGGTCAAATAAAAAAAATGTTGGAAGACGTGGTGTGACCACTAGCCAGAAGAAAAGATACGCACAATAGTGTTCAAATATGTGCTGATAATTTTTATTTTTTTAATGTTGGTTTAAATGTAATTTGAATATAAAATAAACTCCTTTGTGTTTAAAAGTAGGGAAACAGTTGTGGTATAGATTGAATGACAAGTTGGTGTGTTACAGCCCAACTCAAAACCCATCCTTTTGAAATTCCTCAGCCCTGTGATGTCATAGGAAAAGCTCAGTCTATATAGACTGCTATTTATATTTCCTCATTGCATTGGATATCTGGGACAAGTTAGTAGTTATGTCAGTTAGATAAATAGGGAATGCTTGTGCCAATATACTGTAGCAAAAACAATGCATCTGCATTTCAGTTACAGATGTAGTAGGAAGTATCTTCTCTACAACTTATACATTTGGAATGCCAAATGTATAAGTTTCAGTTAAATATGTTCATTGAAGCCCACAAAACAATATTTACTGTAGAAATGTAGCTACTATTCCTCATTCAAGTATCCCACAAAACGTATCTACTGATTTAACTTTTTTTCCATTCAATTTTGCTATTCATTTTCTGGTCCACCTCCCATCTCTACGGCCTGTTATGTCGAAAGCCTACAAACCTCTCTTTTTGTCCAATCTCAGTGTAGTTAACACACTCTTACCTTGCCCCCCTCTTTTTTTCTTCTTTTGCGGAGCTTGTGGTTTCTGACAAGGATAATCTCTGCCTTCAGGGATTATGAAGCTATCCTGTAGTCATCACTTTTTGTCAGCTTAGCCCATATTAGCCAGCGACCCGTGGCTTAACCGCTCCAGCTTTGTACCCGAGTTCAAATGGAACAGCGAAGGTTGGTGCCACGCTTCGCAGTTAAGACGGTTAGAGCAGCGCCACCTCAAACTCCCATTCGCGGAGCTGAGGTGAGCTGCTGCCCTCTAACACCAGTGTTTAGGTTGGGAAATGGAGAGTGGAGCTATTGGGAGAAGGTAGGATTTGGCCTCCTAACCACCTTACCCAGCACCTGTGAAGGTAAATAGTGACTGAAATAGTCTTTTAAATAGAGGAGTTTTTGACAGCTGTGAAGGTCAGAAAGTCTTAAGAAGTGACCTCTACTGGTAAGTGTTGGTGGCTCTGTATGAAAACACCAGATCTCTTTACTGAAGGGGATGCATTTAAAAAAAAAAATTCTATAGTTACAATGGTGGACTAATAGTACCTTGCTTTGTTTTTTTTGAGTACTTCACCCTATACCTGCTATACTTGGGTCAAATTGATCCGCAACAGAAATTCAAAAATACCCTAAATAAAAGAAAATTGATCTGAAATCTGATCATTTAGACCCTTTTAGACCCATGTTTCTGTCCTTTTCTTCTGCTTTTAATCACAGTGTATTTTTGACCCGAGGGTAGCACTTTGAAACCGCACAAATTGTATTTTCTAATAAAATCATTGTAACTACTTCCTAGCTTTCAATTCCATCACTAGTTTTCACATGCTGCAATCCTCACTCCGCTCTCAGTGTGAAATGTTTTCTAATAAGAAGACCGTATGCTCTGCTCTGACAAACATGTTTGTTGCTCTGACACCAAACATGAGGCACTATATATAAATATAATATATTTTCAATTGTTTCATATATATCTATATACGTATATGAAACAACTAAAATTATGTCTAATATTCTAGGTTCTTTAAATTAGCACCTTTTGCTCTGATTACTGCTTGTCACTCTCTTGGCATTCACTTGATGAGCTTCAAGAGGTACCTGAAATGGTCTTCCAACAGTCTTGAAGGACTTGTCAGAGATGCTTAGCCCTTGTTGGCCCTTTCGCCTTCACTCTGTAACTGTGTACAGTTACAGAGTACTCTGTAACTCAAATAGCCCTTACACAGCCTGGGTGTGAATCTACAGTCAATAAAAACACAGTCATATATATATATATATATATATATATATATATATATATATAAAAAATAGATAAAAAAGCCAAGACAGGATTGTGAGAAGAGTGAGATTTTGATACGTGTATCCACTAGTGGTTTGGATTTATAATGGAATACAGTCACTCTTTAGGACACTGCTGTTTCCTACTGAGCTTTGATTATATTTTATTGTGGTTAGTTTTAATGCACATTTTCTTGTTTTGTAAAAATGTTTTGCGTACAAACAGTGCTGTATGGTTTGGGTAGTCGCAATGGGCAAAAGAAACTTGAAGCAGCTACCCAAAGCAGAGTTCAAAATTAGAAATTCCACATGACACGCAGCAAATGCTTTCTCAATCAGAGAGGACATGCCTCCACCAAATCAAGTGTAGAGCTGAATAAACAAGCCCGTCTGGCCCCATGTTTGCTGTGGACGCCGGCAAGCGCGGTGACAGGCATGCCGAGCGCCCGCCTTTTGATTTGTGAGTCTCCCCCACTGCTCAGAAAGGCCCCGGGCTGGCGGACTGAATTAGGAGTTGGAGTGTTATCTCCCAGCCGAGGCTCAGAGCTGATTGCTGCCCTCATTGGTAGTGAGGAGCACGTCTGCCTGGTGTAATAGCTGCCATAGAAACCACATCAGCCAAGTAATTGTTTAGGCAACCTCAGAAAATTAAGAGGACAACATTCAAATGCTCTGGCTTCTCTGGGGCTTATAGTTTTCACAGCAAATGTTCAATTTGTGCAGAGCTTCTGTCACAATACTGTTGTGTTGTGGTAGCACTAAGCCCAAAGGGATAAACAATGGCGTGTTCTCTATTGTTTTGTGATGTTAATAGTATTCCGTTTTTGTATTGGTGCTCATTCATGTTTCATTGTTTTGCATGATAAAATGACCAGTTCTTGGCAAAAAAAAAAATCTCCATTGAAAATATTCTTATGTTTTGTTTATTCTTAATAAACCCTTTTTACCCCAATGCAATCATGCAAGTCCGAATTTCCAGTGATTCTGAAACAGAATCACATTTGTTGGCCATGTATGCACAAATCTCATCTACATCAGAATTCTTGTCCATTTGCAAACTATACAAATACAGAAAAAATACATGCATTCAGTACATCAAATGAGTACGTCATGTTACGTAATGAATAAAAATACATGTGTCAACATTTAGCCATGGGTCTCCGGGTGGCAGGGCAGATATTGAGACCGTAAGGGCCTTTCTTGGACTTGAGCAGAACATAAACTGGGTGGTTGAAGGCCCCTAAAATCCTTCTTGGTCTTTATTGCCAGCGCAGTGGGAAGATTTTATTTTTCAATTCCATCCATCCATCCATTTTATTCCCCTTAATCCATTTCTGGGTCTGTGACTATACATAAGGATGGCTGCTGTCAGTAACAGTGGAGCCTTGATTTTTCAGTGGGGGCTTCAGGTCTTCAAGTGTCTTGCCCAAGGACACAACAACGGCAGACATCAGTGGGAGTTGGTGGAGAAGGTCTCATGGTGGGCTTTGCTTTAAACATTTAAATAACCCAACCCCGTGTCCGGAACCAAAAAAGAACCTATAGAGTATGCAAATCAAACCAGCCTTCCAAAACACCTGTGAGACACCGGTGGATGGAACAACCCTAGACCCAGCTGTCCGGATCCGATGCCTTAACTAAAGAATACAATAAAAAACCAACAAGCTACTCCTACAGTAATAAAAATGAAAAGACAGGCCCCACTTGGTCAAACTAAAATAAAGCTGTGAATTTGCTAACAAAGGCCTAAAAAAGCAAACCATCTGCTTTTGAAAAGGTCACCCCCAGAACCAAGATCCAACTAAATCCATTATTGTTTAAATAGTACATTCCTATTAGTTAAATGACCATATTGGCTGATTAGGTGTGAAATGTGTTCTATGTTAGATAAACATTACAGTTCATCAGACTAATTCCACAATGGTATTTGTAAATGTCTAAATGTGAGAGGTTGCAGACAGGCCCTGTTGTTCTACAGGGTTATGGTTCCAGTGTGTGATGGGACCAGTCCTGTATCTGTTCTGCCAAAACCTCCATGTTTCACCACTGCCCTTCATGAAAGCCACTGACACAGAAAATGGGATGACTGATGTTATCTTTAATGAACAGTGTAATTGGCGTTGCCTCACCACCGGCTTTTTTACCCTCCTCTGTATTCCCAGGCTGTTACGGTGTGGACGGGGAGAGCGACTCCATCATGAGCTCCGCCTCTGAAAACTCCACTGAGCCTTGGTTCTGTGATGCCTGCAAGAATGGAGTGAGGCCCAGCTGTGAGCTCTGCCCCAACCAGGATGGCATCTTTAAGGAGACCGATGCTGGCAGGTAGGTTGGATAGAGAATCTGCATTTGCACTTTCCCCTGTTTCACATTAGGGATGGGAATGTGATCTTGTGATTTAAAAAAAGCTATGAACGTAAGTAAGTACGTTTTTATTTATACCGCCTTTTCACTGCAGATCTGAGTCTCAAAGCGGTTTACAATTGTTATTTTTGGGCATTTGTCTCTCACTCCACACAGAGATGGGAGCGGGGCCAGTACAGGAGGCGCATGCCAGAACTATTGTACATATTTTTAGTGGTAGGGGAAACCGGAGTACCCGGAGGAAACCTACGCAGACACGGGGAGAACATGCAAACTCCACTCAGAAAGGCCCTGGTCCGACCGGGATTCGAACCCAGGACCTTCTTGCTGAGAGGCGAGAGTGCTATCCACTCAGCCACCGTGCTGCCAAACGCGGAAACGTCTTTTTCCAGAGGGGAACAATATTTGAAATGGGCTCCGATCTAACTCAAAATGATTTAATTCCCAATAAAGTGCAATCTTCATAATAATCACTTACATCCAACATTATTTCTGACCCAATTCATGGAATTTATTTATGTATAATTTTGTTGTATTTTTACAGAGGGCTGATATTTGACACTAAAATGTCACAAATGTCAATGTTTTGTTTGGGCCTAAAGAAAAAAGAGAAGTATGTGTAGCACAAATAGGGCACTACATAAAAGTTGACTGTTCCATCTTGGGCTGAAACAATAATAATGATTTTGCAACTTGGACCTGACACCCCTGACCAACACCATGGTCAACTGCCATTTTCATGAGGCACATAGTGGAACATGCTCAGAAACAAATAATACCTAATGACCTAAGCTGGTAGAAATGCTGCAGACAGCCAAAGGCTATCTAAACAGTCCATTTATTCAGTGGTGGAGAGAAAGGAAGTGGGATTAAGGAGGAGAGGGAGAGAGCAGTTGAGGAATGGAGAGAAGAGCAGAGATAGAGGAAGAAAAAGAGAGGGAGAAAAGAGTGTGTTATGTGAAGCGTGGAGACTTCAGCCACGTTATCGCTGATAGTGCTTCTCAGCCGAGCTGCACCCAAATTTACTACTTCACTAGAGCATGAAAAACACAGCAAATTAAACTGTGAAGCGCTTGCTTGCTAGAGATGGATATCTTTATATTGGACTTCGGATTCTCTTCCCTAAAGTCCGCATTTGAAATCGTGTCACAGTAGCCTACATGAATCTATGAATCCATTTCGTTTAGTGCCGGAGCAAGTTTTTGAAGAAAATGTTATCATATTAACTTTCTTATTGTCGGTTATAATTCCCCACTTTTGAAGCTGACATAGCCACAACTGTTGATGTAATCTGAGTTCATTCAATTATCATTTAACATTCCATGACTTTACTTTGCCATTGAGACTCCTTTGTCATTTTTGCTATTCTAAAATACTCAAGTAATTTAATTATTATCTTATGCCGACAGGTGGGTGCACGTGGTGTGCGCACTTTATGTTCCCGGAGTGGCTTTTGGAGACATCGATAAACTCCGTCCTGTAACCCTCACAGAGATGAACTATTCCAAATATGGAGCAAAGGCAAGTTGTTCTGCTGACAGGAGCTGCTGTGTGCCTGCCCTTTGTGTTACACGTCTCTTTGTCCCTCAGGAGTGCAGTTTCTGTGAAGACACACGCTTCGCCCGCACCGGAGTGTGCATCAGCTGTGACGCGGGCATGTGTCGCTCCTTTTTCCATGTGACCTGTGCTCAGAGGGAGGGCCTGCTGTCTGAGGCTGCAGCTGAGGAGGTACCCCTGTTCAACTCACTACAAAAACTGAGTATTTATTTTACATGCCAGTGGAGAAAAGGTGAGAACACAAACTAACTTTATTTTTTGTTTTTTCTCAGGATATAGCAGATCCTTTTTTTGCATATTGTAAACAGCATGCAGACCGCTTCGACAGAAAGTGGAAAAGGAAGAATTATCTAGCTTTGCAGTCCTACTGTAAGGTGTCTCTGCAAGAAAGGGAGAAACAGCTCACCCTTGAAGCACAGGTGAGGCCACAAGCTTTACACTTATTCTAACTTTTAGCTTCCCAGGCCGCTTTCATTGGATTGAAAACATATTGAGGTTACTGTTTTTTGAGACATTTTTTGTTAAAATCTTGTTAATTTATTCTCTGAGTTTATATGAGGAGTAGGAAAAGGCAGGAGAGTGGTTGATTGGTCCATCAGCAATGCAACCCCCCCTGTTCTGTTCTCAGCGCCAGGTCTGGTCTTGCCACAGGCCATTGTTTGTGTGGAGGGTACAGATCTTTACTCTCTGCTTGTGTCCTGCCATTTCTCTCGAGTAACATTCTTGTAGCTTCTGTGTGCATTCCCAAACAAGTTAAGAGAAGATAGCCCTGAGCTTCCCCGAGGTTTGAGTCCTGGCTGGTGTTCTGTCGAGGCGGTCTGCCCGTTGAGATGAGCTCCCTCAGCTGTTTATGATGTAATGCAAACCTGCGCATGCGCGTTTCATGGTAGCCGAAGCAATCGAAGATGGCGGACATAAAGTCCCTGAATTGTGTAAAAAGTTTAAATACGAACAAACTAAGACATGAATGTCACTTTTTATGCAATTTGAGGCAATATGTTTATGGTCCCATGTTGTTATATGTGGGTTTTTAGAGTCAAAGTTTTGTGTAAAGTTTGGTTTAAGTAGTCAACTGCTCCTGAACCACACTGCTAGTGTGTGATAGCAACACCTTTTGAGCTGCGGCAAACATCATTTTACTGACATGGGCCAATGACGCGTCCTGTGGCTAACGTGACAGCTATTAGCTTCCAACTGAGAGTTTGGTTATTATTTCCGTCATCAACCCAACAGGCCAGTCGGGTTGTCGACTGTCCTGTTTGCTGTTGGCTGTCGAGTTAGCCACAGGACGCGTCATCGGCCTACAGTACGTCAGTAAAAGGAAATGCCCGTAGGAAAGGTACTGCTATCACACAGTAGCAGTGTGGTTCAGGAGCAGTTACTATTTAAACAAATTTTACACAAAACTTTGACTCTTAAAACCCACATATCACAATATGGAACCTCTTGCAGCTGAGGGAGCTCATCTCGACGGGCAGACCACTTCGACAGAACACCGGGTCCTGTCAAGCTTTTTGTGAGTTTCATGTGGTCACTCCAATTCATTTTGTAAAGACTGTGTTGTTACTTTACCAACACATTTCCAAAAACAAATTATTTATTGTTGTGTCATGAAGTAGCCATGTGGATACTATAGAATATTGAAACAATATTTTCCTTGTTCCAGGGCCGGATTACGACCCGTCTTCAGCAGTACCGTACCAAAGCTGAGCTGTCGCGGAACACTCGCCCGCAGGCGTGGGTGCCGCGGGAGAAGCTGCCACGACCACTGACTTCCAGCGCCTCGGCCATCCGAAAGCTGATGAGGAAGGCCGAGCTCATGGGCATCAGCACGGACATCTTCCCTGTAGACACGTCGGATGCCAATGCCAGCATGGACGGGCGTCGGAAGCACAAGCAGCCCGCGCTCACTGCCGATTTTGTCAACTACTACCTTGGTAAGCAAGAGGGACTTCTAGAAGATAAGATCAAGATTGAAAGTTTCATTGTATTATGTGTACAAAAGACTAAAAAGGATACAACAGGATACGTATATCAGAATCAGAATCATTTTTATTGCCACGTAAGTAACAAACAAAAGTTACCACTTGGAAATTGTTTTGGCAGAGAGCGTGCCACTTCGCCATTTGCGGCGCTGTGTAGTAATATAGTTTGAAAAGGGGGTTGGACGCACATACATTCTGATACTGAAATGTTTTACCTATTCCTCCTTACAAAACAACTCCTTGTCAATACATAGAGAGTCTTAGTGAACAGCAGTTTTCAGGATTTAGTCTGGGCTTTGACTGGGCCATTCAACACAAGAATAGGTTTATTTTTAAAGCGTTCTATTGTGGGTTTAGCTGTGTTTAGGTGAATGTTTGCCCCAACCTCAATTCTCTTGCTGAGCAGGTTTTCCTCCAAAATGTCCCTGTCTTTTCCTCCATCAAAATTCCAACTATTCTTACAATGTTCCCTATCCTTTCTGAAGAAAAGCAGTTCCATACCAGGATGCTACCCCCCCACTATATTTGACACCGGGGATGGTTCATTCAGAACAATGAGCAGTGTTTGGTTATTGCTATACGTTTTGCATTTGAAAAAAGTGCCAACTTTTTCCATTTCTGATTGAACAGGGTTCCATGAGATCAAATATTAGTATAACTTAACATTGCTTTGAACTTCACCACAACTTTATCGATGACCTCTTTGGTGTGCTCCTTAGCCTGATGATGTTGTTTAGTGTCCATAGATCTGAGACCCTCACAGAACAGCTGCATTTATCCTGAGAGTAGATTACACGCTACTCTTTTTATTCATTATGGCCAAGTGTGAACATTCAGCTTCTTTAGAAATGTTTTAAAGGCACTTAATTGCACACAGAAAAATGTCATATTGACACTTGTACACAGCCCATTTTTCACTTTTCTATTTTTAAAATGCATAGCAGAGACCTGAGAACTGGACTAATGTGATCGTACTTCCTGGTTCTAGTCAGGACTAATCAGGACAGCTTTGGACAGATCAGTGAGCAGGCTGTTACAGTGATGTAACCTACTGGAGACAAATGCCGGATAAGAATCCCCAAGTATATACAATAATGCATTGGTTTTATTGGACATTCAAAGATGGTTCACATGTCATTCACTCCATACACGGTGGCGATAAACTAATACTGTAGCTACAGCTGCCCTCGGACACACTGACAGAAGCGAGGCAACCAGATTGTGCCATCGGCCCCTCCGACCACCACCAACCATTCACACACACACTAGCCTTAATCTAGGCAATGGGGTGAAGTGTCTTGCCAAGGACACAGCGAACAACAATGACCGCATTTTCCAGGGTTACCGCATTTTCCAGGGTTACCGCATTTTCCAGGGTTACCGCTTTTCAGATGGCGAAGCATGATAGACTACCAATGTGCTGTCAATCCAAATAATCCAGTCAGAAAGCAGGCAGCGGTCTTAAATTTAGACAGAAAAAAACTGGAAGAAAAGAGAGTTGCTAATGTACATAAAATAAATGCAAGTCACTGATTTTACAAAATAACAAAGACAAATGTAGGCGTTGTTCAGAAAGTTACACTGCAAAAGTTGCAGCGCTTTGATAGAATTAGACTAAAGTGGGTTATATCCTGTCTGTAAAACCTAGACAAAATGAAGTAGACACTGAGTGGAGATGGAGGCTGCAGATGTGTGGCAGTAACCTTGAGCGCAGACTCCATTAGGCCCAGCCCAGCGCAGGACTATCTGCCATCGGTTTCCCCAGTCTCCTGCACTTTTCCTGTACACAGATTGTGACGACGCTATTGATTTTTGTTCCCATTTATATTCAGAGAGGAACATGCGAATGATCCAAATCCAGGACAACATCTCGGAGCAGAAGAACCTGAAAGACAAGCTGGAGAGCGAGCAGGAGAAACTGCACGTGGAGTACAACAAGGTCAGCAAAAGGATTTATCTCAATTACCACTTAAAAGAACTCGCATTAGATTCAGATTCAGACCACTTTTCTTATTCCACCAGGGGAGAGTCATTTGACCAGCAAAGGGCATAAAAAACACATAAAACATGGGCATTGTTAAACAGTAACATAAGTCCTATGATATGAAGTGGAGCCCATACACACATATGAACATAGTACATGAACAAGACAAGCCCAAACACACACTAAAGTCCATACTACCAACAAGCAACAGAAACAGAGAGTTAATGATATTATTATTATTATTTAACAGACCTACTGCTACATTCTCCCATCAAAACCACATCTTCTGTTGTTTCACGCTTCATCCACACATGTGTCATTAAGTAATCATGTGCACTAGCTCATGGCTGTCCCTCTGCGCCCTCACAAAAACACGCCTTTTCTCATGATTTATCTGTCATGGTCTTGAAATAACACTAGTACTCCCTGAATTCTGAAATTACTAGAACTCCCGGAGCAGTCATTTTAACAAATCAATGGAATTCTGAAAAAAAATCCCAAATACACGCTAAAACTGGTGAATGGTGCTGGCAGGTAAACAGTGTGTTGCTATGGTAGCGAGCACATGTTCTTCTCCAAACAAGGGCCAAGGCCAACCAATTGGTCCTGGACTGGGGTTTTAACTGCTATAGAATGATGGTTACAAGAACCCCTTGTATTTAAAAAAAAATCTGACACAGAAATAAACTTCACTTTGAGACAGAAAAAGACCTAAAAAATATGAGCTGACAAAATTGCTCTGGGTGGTGTAGTGTTAATCAGAAATGTTTGCTTGATGAAGGCATAACGCCGAAACGTCGCAATTTTTAATTTGCAAGTAAGACGGTGTGCGGGATTATTCTCTCTCTGACATTAAGCTATACAGGCCTCTCCTCCTACGCACCCGATCTGTAGGTATTGATGTGCGAATCCCTACTCCAGTCAATCAGAAATGCCCAAAAGTGGTTGGCGTTGGCAAAGAATTGATGCAAGGAATATCAGACTGGATACTTTGTTGAAGGAAGTCTTTATTGCATCGACCGACAATCGATGTACAGGGTTTATAAAGTGTCTGTTTGTTCTCTCCTTTAATACGACAGTCTCCTCATCCAATATGAACCACAGTTTTACTGATGTCACCACAAGTAGAACTCTGGAGTCAGCATTTCTCCGGGGATCAGTGGCGACATCTTATTCACTGACTAGCTTATGATGCTATGTAGGAGGCCAGTGTGTTGTGTAGTGTGTAGACCTAACAAAATCTTTCAATTCGTTTATTATTATATTCAGTTTATTTATGTAAAGTTTATTTAATTTTTTTACAAGCACAAACGGTATTATTGAATGCCAAAGCAAAGATGTTCATTCCATTTTTAAGGCAGAAAAGAATATATTGCCTTCTTTACATCCTAAAAATAGACCTGCATTAAAGAAACATCAAGTTTACTACATAAAGCAGGGATATGTAGGTGCAGGTTTTAATTCCAACCAAGCAGGAGCACTCCACCTCTTTTCCTGAAGACTTGGGGAAATATGTGGGGCCAGTGTGCACCTTCTTTATTGGAATGAGATTCTGCCTCCACATCGATATTTTGCGGACCGATTTGATTTCCTGTGGATGATATGCTTGCTGTCGTCCATTTTAATGCGAGTCCCTGGAGTCCCTGCGCTGGGACTTTAGAAGAATATTATGAAAGTTCCTGTCTTCCCCGTGGTGTAAAGCCAACACAGGTCTAAAAGACTCTAAGATAAGATAATCCTTTATTCTTCCCACAGTGGGGATATTTCAATGTTACCCACATTACATCATTACGTACATTGCAGCACAATAAAAGGAGGAAATAAGAGACTCAAGATGCACACATCACACAGGATCTATTAAGATAAAAGATGACAACTAAATTAAGTAGGGCTGTCAAATGATTAAAAATTTGAATCAACTTAATTACAGCTTAAAAATGTATTAATTGTAATTAATCACATTTCGAAACTAACGGCAAAATTATGCCATATCTTTCTGTAAATGGTTGTTTAAATGGAAAAATAAATGACAACATAGTGTACATATGTACTGTATTTGTTTATTCTTACAATAAATCAACATAAAACGGCATTAACATTATTCTCATTTTGTCTTTCTGTAGTAGACAGTGTCTTTTCAAAGTCGTATTAAAACCTGTAATTTAATTGAAAAGTTGAGCTCATTGATTCAGCTCTGTATGAATTCAGGCCGTAAAAAGTGCTGAGTAGAAACTTTGCGTGACACTTGTTCTCCTAGGCCACGCCCCCTCTAGCGCCTGCCGTGCATGTAAACAACAGCACCATGGTAGGAGAAGGTGGCTGTACCTCGTCTGGCTGTAACTGCATACACAGCAGTAAAACAGCCCAAAAGACGTAACAGTGAGGAGGAGGAGAGGGAAAGCGAAAAAATGACATGGCTAGCTTACATCGTATCCTCTGGAGGGACCTGCGGGAGCGGACTGCCTCGGACTAACTTTGGATGCAAAAGTAGCGGTAATCTTTCAGTTATTGTACTTTATATTTTGTTAGCAGTGCATTGCTTTGGTATCATTTCATCAGTGATTGTTGTACATCTTGTAAGAAGTTGTGCTGTTGCTAACTAATGCCTACCTGCTCTGTTGCCATCTCACACGCGTGTGTCCGTGTCACTTCTGAGTGTTATTATGGGATGCATGGGCGGGTCATTCGGCCCATGCGTTAATGCGTACATTTTTTAACGCGATTTTTTTTTTTTTTTTATCAATTAGCGTTAACGCGATAATTTTGACAGCCCTAAAATTAAGATAATAAAATAAAAACTCTGCACTCTCCATTATAATACACTAATGGAGCATACACTGTAGTCCGCAGGAGGTATTTACAGATTTTTATATTGTACTTTAGCAGCAGAGAATGAGCAGAGCAAACAATAGTTATAATAGCAGCTGCAACCTTTCCCACTGTTGTCACAACACTTCTGCACATGTTAAAATTTTGCATGTTTTTTTTTTTAATCTCAATCAGTCCAACACACTTTCACAGACGACCTTTTTCTACTTTCTAAAACCACCTCGGATATTCCTGAAGCGAAGCCTCTCTGTTTCTTCTGATAAAACTGTGGCACCGACGGTGGCGTTCTGGGCAGCCCTTAACAGAGTGACCCGAGCGAAGAGGCCACGGCTCCATCTGTCAACATGAAGGAAAACACGGCAGCAGTGGGAAAGTCGGCAGAGTTAATGTGCCGTTCAGTCCTGCCTGCGCTCGGTGTCGCAGCTTTTATTAATGGGCTCTGTGTTGTTAATTGTTGTGCTTTCTCTTTGGCCTCGGGAAAAAAACACATCCGAACAAGATGAAACTGCGTTTAAGAACTCCTTTGGACAGAGGCCATTCTTCCACACCTGCAACCAGCCTCTGCCTCGGCCCTATTTCTACTGACTTGAGGTCAAGCAGCTTTGATTTTAGAAACTGACAACGATAATGGAGTGAGTGTAAGCTGTGCAGTGTCTGGCTATTTCCGCACATATTTTATTCCCTTTTTGCTTTTGCGATCACCTGAAAATAAAAGAAGCAGGTCGCTCATGTAGGGCTGGGCGATATGGCTGAAAACTATATCACGATATAAGTCATTCATATCATATATTGAGTATATTTTGTTTTTTTTTTTTAACCTAAATAAATACATTTGTTGTGTGGGCTAACCAACCTTAGCAGCCTTGTTTACAGCCATGGGGGAATGAGGCTGGAGGAATATGTTCACACTGTGTCCCTCGTTGTTAGTCCTGGTTTTTTATTCCTGGTTTAGCTCCTGGTTTAGCTGTTTTTGAGGGTCTTGTGTCCCCGTGATCGCTCCGTGCGGCTCTCTGTGCCGCACATGCTTCCCGAGGAAAAAGTTAATCTCTTGCTTTCGCCGAATACATCGGGTCTGTCCACTGCCTCTGCCGCCGCACATGTTATTCTGCGCACGTACGTGCATAACCATTGACACGGCATTGAAACACGAGCTATAGATCCATGGACGCTACGCATGGTGCAGTTGTTGGTGTTTTTGCATTTCCCAGAAAGTTTTGCGGTTCCTGCTCGGCTGTTATTGGTCGAGAAGCCTCTGCCTACATCCCCCACAATGCCGCGCGCTTATGAGTCGGCTTTACTTCCCGTGTTTTCTTCCTGTTTTTCCTGACGGAGTTAAGTTAAACTGTCGAACATTCTATCGACCCCATTCTCTATTGATATCGAACACATGTCTATCGCAATATATATATCGTTATCGTTTTATCGCCCAGCCCTACGCTCATGACCAGTCAGCATGAGCATGTGTTGGATTGTTGGATGGGAGAATAACTGTAATAGTACGGTTATTTCTTTGGCTGGCCTAGTCCATAGTATGCAGTAATTACAGCCGTTTGTATGGCCTAAGTTGTCATTCGGCATCTTAGGCCTGTTTATATATAGAACTTTCCAGACAAAGTGACAAAGTGTAGAAACAAACACACTCCTCTGCCTTAGTATGACTGTTTCCACCTTTAAGCCAACGTCCTAGTTTTCACACTTGTATTGTGCACATTGAAGCTGACTGTTGCATGTGTGTGGTTCTAGCTTTGTGAAACACTGGAGGAGCTGCTGAACATGAATGGCGAGCTGCGTGGTGAAGGAAAGACCGTCTGGACTCTGATGGGAGGCATCCTGGGACAGGTACCACAGCCACACTGAGCTCATCTCAGTCCTTTAGACATGAGAAGGGTTGCCACTTTCACACTGCTGTCACATACATGTGATTCGGGCCCAGAGAATCTTGGGGGTCATGGACAACACTTTTTTATTTGTTTTTCAGTTAGCGTTTAAAAGCAAAACCTTGATAGGTTTTGGTTAACCAAAATTGCACTTAAAATTATCAATCTGTTAATCTAGTGAGTCCTTTAATTGATTGAGAACTTGATATGACAGTTCACATGTGAAATGTCAGATATGACATGTGATATAACCTTGATGCTGAAAAAACAAAAGTTTTATATCTTTAAAGTATTTTTTGTAATTACTGCTGTGTTTTTTGTCCCAATATCACATCTTTAAAGGTGCCACTCTTCTTAAGGTTTCACAGTCCATCCTATGCACATGTGTAATAATAATTTGAGTGATACACCATACAGCACTCAAAACTGATGTGATGTCACCTCAATTCAAACAAGCTGATCCAGAGAGGAGTCTGCCTCTCGCAAGGCTGTTTATCTCCAAAGCAAACTCAGACTTGCCAGTACATACTCATTTCAGACCTGAGAACAAACGTTTTCCAACCATGGCAATCCGACACATCAAGCTCTATGTCCTCGATCCAAAAACAGACCCTAATTATTAGTTTTTGTGTTAGTGTCTTTTATTGTGAGAATAACACTGGTTTCCAGATCAGCTTTTGAGTAAGTCCAGTTTCATGGTAATAGTTCTGTAAAAGTCTTAGTGAAGTGTCGCAGATGAACAGATTTGTCGTGGACTTCAGAGGCGGATCCCTGTGAAAAAAAGTCGAGACGCATTCTCCCTCTTCGGGCCAAATAGTGCTGGACCTTGAGTCTGTAATAAAGTTATCTATCTATATAGTATTATTATTATTATTGACAACAGACAGCATATTTATTGTGTATTGTTTTCCCTGTTTTGACGACATTATTTAAGAACCATTTTAAATAAAAAAATGAAAGCAGTGTTTCTGCTTGTCATTTTTGTCATTGATGTTAAAATCATCACAGAAGTGTACCCGGGCGTTTTGCTGCCTCTCGAAAATGAAAGAGAAAAATTGTTCTCTAACTCAGGGGTTCCCAAAGTTTTTAGCCCGCGACCCCCATCATAAATGCCCTGCTAACCCGCGACCCCCCGCCCCCCCCAACAGCCCTTCCGTCACATGAAATGAGCATGTATTTCCTTGATACGGAGTAACGCTTTCTAGAGACTCACGCCACTACCGAGCTGCACTGTCCAGCCCAAAAAAGGAGGCTTGCATATTTTTACTCATGTAGTGACACAGTGATGGGCTTGGTGGGCTCCCTCCTCAGCAGAAGTCAGAAGGGAGCGCATTTCTTGCGGCTCGCCCTCACTGTTCTCCTACCGCGGTAAAGTGGGCCGGCTTTCCGGAGTCAGCGGTAAAGAGGTCCGCACATTAAAAGCGGGCGGCCGCTTTCTGCTGTTACTTTATGCGGTTCATCCCCGCGGCTTCTCTTTCCAAAGTTACTGTCAGTAACAGGCATAAACCTGCCACCCGCTTTTAATGTGCGGACCTCTTTACCTTTGACTCCGAAAAGCCGGGCCTCTTTAACGCGCTGTTCTACCGCTGTCCTCCCTCCGCTGCCCTCTCTCCCTCCGCTGCCCTCTCTCCCTCCTTTGCCCTCTCTCCCTCTCTTCGCACCATCAGCCTGACCCCTGATACAAGTGACTTTTCTCCCCCTCCGGGTTTTTCTGTTGTGGATATTAACCACGTTTCATTTTAAAGCAGGTATTATTTATTTGTAGCCTCCAAACACCTTTAGTTTTAGCAAACAACAGCAGGACACGCTTTGTCGCTGCGCATGATGTGAGCTGTGTTACGTGATGATTTTGATTGACGCTGCAATGACTGGGACAAAATTACTAACGTTATTAAAATATATTATAGTCTCCAAACACAATTTAACAAGTAGTCCTTTTGAATCAAATCAAATGCTAAATAAATATTTAAGGGCTTTATATTTGCTCAAAAAAAAAAATCTTTTTTCTTTGTTTGTGTGGAAATCATCTTGCGACCCCCCCCAGGGGTTCCCGCGACCCCCCGGGGGGTCGGGACCCCCACTTTGGGAACCACTGCTCTAACTAAGGCTTGAAGGAATCAATGAAAAAACAACTCTGAGCATGTGTATGAAGGCCAAATAGCACCGTAATGATGTTTAAAGCAGAGAAAAGTCAAAAAGCGTATGGTAATATGGGACCTTTTAAGCACAGACATCTGCTGGACTACTCCAGAGTAGTTAATGATCAATCATCAATTATTGAAAAACCTGATTCGTTTTTACAGCCCTATACTATATCTTACACCTGTTGCTTGTATTTCTTGCCGCATCCCATTTATAGCAGTTTATTTTGTATCTCACATGTTTTAAATCATATCTTACTGAGCTCTTTGATGATTGTGAAGTTTGTGGAAGCCTTGTGTTCAGGGCCGGAGTGGGACAATTTTTTGGCCCGGGAATTCTGGGTCAGACCGGCCCTTCTGATAAAGTAGTCTATCAAAAAAAAAACTGAACTGCCTGCTGTTGTAATATCCATAACAACCAGCAGGTGGCCTAAAATTAAGTTTTGTAAATTACAAGACTAATGGTATTAAAATTATTCTTCGTTCACTCCTTTAGACTTCTCAGTGCTAGTCACAAAATAACTCAATAATGCATTTGAATAAATCATGATATTTGAATATTATGGTATCACAATATGAATTGTAGCAAATTTTAGACTGACCCTAGACTTATGTGGATATAAAAAGCATGAATTTCACAAATTTTAGAACAATGTCAATTTTCATTCAAATAATTGTCATTCACAAAGATTTGGCTATATTTTTTTTATAATACATTGAATTGACTCGAAACCATTAACTATCATCCTCCTTTCAAGACTAAACAAAAACAAAGACTAATGCAAATACAACACTAAGACAAAACAGTGCTTGCTACAACTTTATACAAAACCAAAATTAATCTTAACGTACTTGAATGTTGTCCCAGGGAAGAACTAAAAGCAAACTAAATGTTAACCTCTATCAAGACGAGAAAACACAAACTGCACACTATTTAAATCAATCAAACCCAAATTAACAATAGCAAAATGAAGCACATTAAAACATGAGTAAACTCTGTAGAAGTGCACTTGTTTATGCAACTTTGTTTATGATAATTGTCATTATCCAATGACAAAGGATGTCTTTTCTGTAGATATGAGCATAAATGCTTCACATCTTTTGACAAACACACAAAATATTCAACTGTTACTTTCCTAATGTACAAAGAAGTTAAAAATGTAATTTATGCAATATACATTATACATTATGAAATAAATAAATTCATGGCCTTAGTGGCTTAGTCAAATTTGATTAAAAATACAATCTTTTTGGTTTTTACCTGCCCAATCCTGAGGCTCTTCATAATATGAATGAACGATTGTTGTATCTGAGGACCCATCCATCCTCTTCCCCTTAATCAATCAATCAATCAACGTTTATTTATAGAGCGCCTTTCCTACACAAGGCAACGCAAAGCGCCTCACAACCCATATAACATCATGCATAAATCATCAAACATTAGAATTTAAGTAAACATAAAAAGACAGATTAAGAGCACAAGATATATAAAATCACACAAGTAGTTAAAAACCGTAAAAAATTAAAATCACACAAGGGATTACAATCATAAATAATCATAAATAATCATAGCGCATTAAAAAGATTAAAGATAAAAACAAATGTAAAATCATTCACTTGTATGCACAGCTAAAAAGAACTGTTTTCAGTTCAGTTTTAAAAACTGCCAGAGTAGACGCCTGTCTCACACTCTCGGGAAGACGGTTCCAGACTCTAGCTGCATGAATCTGAAACGCAGCCTCCCCATGTCTAGTTCCGACTCTTGGCACTAACAGAAGTCCAGTCCCTGTGCTCCTCAGAGCCCGAGTTGGTTCATATGGCACCAACATGTCGCGGATGTACCCTGGTGCGAGGCCATGGAGAGACTTGTACACAAGTAAAGCTACTTTAAAATCTATTCTCTGAGCCACAGGAAGCCAGTGCAGAGACCTGAGGACCGGACTAATGTGGTCGTACTTCCTGGGTCGGGGGGGTGGCAGTCAGAGCTGCACCCAGTCCACAGAGCACCAATCTTGGGTCCATCTGAGGACCCAAGAAGCAATAAATGTAATGACGGAGTGCTAATCCTTTAGGGAATCACGTCGTCATGTTTTGCCAGTGTTATGCATGTTTTTTTTTGCTAGCTTACCGCGGTCTGATGCCTCTTCATCGGCGGAGCACTTTTTATGGAAAAAAAATACCAACTTTGCACATTTGGCTGCTTCAGCTTCAAGAGCTTTCCTTTTTTTATTCTAATCTTTTCTGCTCAGCCCTTGATTTTGTTCCTTTCCATTTTAAAAACACTCGTGTTGGACAGATGTCATGTCTGTGAGAAACGGCGCTTGCTTCAGTTCTATCTGTCATTCAACCTGATCTATGGCCCGCGCTCTCGCTTAATCCCGCCTACAATCTACAGACAACCAATCAGGCCGTTGCAGAACACATCGTAACCAATGAAAGCGGCCAAATGAGACTAGCCAGAAGTGTGTGTGCTGTTTACTCGTGTGTGCGTGTGTGTGTGAGTGAGAGAGAGAGAGGGCGAGAGAGAGAGGCAGTGTGCACGGGCGAGCGACAGGTCCGAGAAGGCTGCGGTGAACAGCGGTGTCAGGAAAGCACGGCCGCCGGCCAAGTCCGAACCAGCAACATACAACATCCAGCCCACCGGCCCTTAGCCCAACCGGCCCACCGGGAAACCTCCCGGCTCTCCCGATTAGCCACGCCGGCACTGCTTGTGTTTGATCATTTCTATTTTAGTCAACCAATAAGTCGTGATGGAGAGTTGTCCAAATTGTAAGTAGCATGCCACATGGCCCACTCCGGCTGGGAGCAGGAGCACGTCTGT